ACACATTGGACTCGACTCAATTTTCATAAAATTCTACTTAAAACTGTCAAAAACTGATTGATGATTCCTTCAGTCTGGCCATGGCTGTTGAAATTGTCCCGTCGCACACACTAAAGACGCGACCAGACAAATGAATCTACGCAGCATGGTGGAGGATTTTGACGGACACATGAATGGCCCGAAATGAAAGGATGCAAAACAAACAACAAAAAGAAATAAATGAATAAATCGGTGTACTTGCTTGTAGGTGTCCGAATGCCGGTTAGTCTGGTTTTTAGTTGGTATAAATTACTTAAGCCTATACAAACGTAAAAGCTGGTTTAGCAGAGCAAATAATAACTGATATATATATACATATATACCATATATATAGAGCTTAACAATAGATATATACAGTCCAATAGGAGCGATGGTGTCGAATACATTCAATCTTGCAAAGTGCAAAAGAGCTGATATCTGATTATAATATAGTGGCCTATAGAACCAAAAGCATAAAAAGAACTAAACAAAAAAACTAAAATCGACATCGGAATGATATATTAAATTAATTTTCGTTTGATTAAGCTACGGTTTGACATATGTATTGCTAAATTTTCTCATTTGAAATAACAAGCCAAAATAAATAAATAAGAATGAAAAATTAGATCGTTTTTCATTTCGTTGCTCTGAGGTTCTTCGGTGAAGTCTTCGTTGGACTTCAGCCGGTTTCAGCCATTTCGTTGCTCTGAGGTTCTTCGGTGAAGTCTTCGTTGGACTTCAGCCGGTTTCCTTATATATATTGGAAGCGTTGATTAAGAGTTAAAGTGACAGCCGGTTTTAATTTTTGTTAAAATTTTAGGTTATTAACTAGTAAGACCACACACATTTATTTAGCTTGTTAGACTGTAAGTACTTAAGTGACTTGTAACTAGTAATTTGACTATAAACTTGATCGAGCTTATGGTCCCCATGGGGGCCGCTTTATCTGACAAATGGATAAATCTATAAATTTAAAGTTGACCCCAATGATTGATAGATTTAAGAAAGATCATTTATCACAGAAATGACATTATCTGGAGAGGCAAATAATACTAAAAATATCGATATCTGTCGACCCAGGAATCAAATCCACGTCTTATGGATTAGTAATGGGGCTCTAACAACTGCATAAAATGCCTACTTGTAAGAAAGTTGAGCATCGCTTCCGCATTTGCGCATGCATCCGCAATATTCTCCCAACTTAGTGGCATGAACTGTTTGCCTTTATTTTTGCAATACAAAAAACTGTTAAAAGACCACATTTTGCATTAAAAAATTAATCAGTTTTATGCCGGTGTTGCATGTGTCCAACAAGAATTCGGATGTTTTAACACAATAGCGCGTGTGGAAGGAGGCAACGGTGCCGCTCCTACGCGTACCAAACCAACAATGTACGATGTGTATACCGGCAACAAAAACAATACCTATTCATATATTGTTAAATGTATATGCGTGTGTGTATGTGTGCGAAAGGGGGCAGCTTCTTGTGGTAGCACTTAGGAGTTGAATACTCGACAGACAGTGGCCAAAATTAGGCGGTCAAGTAGGCGGAGCAGATTGATGTGAAACTAAATTGGGATTTTACGCAATTTCCGTTTTCACCCATCATTCGTACACATGCATACACACATACTCACGCAACCGAAGATGCAAATGCCAAAAAATGAAGTTCAAAAATTGCTTCGAATGCGTTGAAAGGCTTTCGGGTAGGTTGTTTTCGAAAAGTAATCTGTAAAGTATTCGGTGTTTTGTTATTTTTGCTGCTGAATTTCATTAATCAACTGCGAGTAAATTGGTTGGTGATATAAGGGGAATCTTACTAGCCTGTCGCTTGCTCGCTGACGACAATGAACAGACAATAAAATGCAAAAATAGGATACCAAAGAAAAAAGTTCGTTTTTAATGCATTTTAGCGGCTGAGTGGCATAAAAAGCATAAAAGAATGTTAACACAATTCTAAAAGTATTTTGCTTTTATTTTGATTTATGATTGAAATTTATTGCGTTCCCTTATAATGTATTTCAATCACCGACACTTTCAAGACCTACAAGTATATATTTATGTACAAATTAGTATTTAGTTGAGTATATTAAATTTTTGTAAATCATTACAACAAAAAGCCATGATTACAAACGCTAAGCTTTTGCAAGAGAATAGGCAAGGGTTGTGAAATTGCGTAATATTAAAAAAAAATCCTTTAAAAATAAACCTTTATTTTAGGTACTTGATAAATTAACAATTAGTGAAAATTTATCAATATTTTTATCAAGTAAAAACCATTTTTTATTTCGCGGCTATATAAATATGATAAAATTTAAATCTTCAGAACAAAATTTGATGTCTACACATTTTTGGTGTGAGCCGTGGCCAAAGAAATTTATAACTGAAACGGCCCTTACTCCCTATTTAAAGGCAGTGAGGCTTTTTGGTTATCATGTGGGGCCAGGTCCCAAACAAAAATTTTACATAAACTTTAGACGATATTGATGTCACATAAGTAGGTTACAAAAAATTGTTTTTATTAAAATACTTTATGAAAAGGTGTTTTTCAATTAATATTCAAGATTTTCTTTTGGGGTAATTTTTTTAAGAACTTATAATGTCTATTATGTACTAAAAAAGTACACTAATAGTTATAGTTGTGCCTCAAAGATGCATTGTTATAAGTTGTAAGTTAATAATTTTCAATACTCGATTCGCCAAGCATTGAAGAGTATCTAAAACTATTTTTTAAGTGTCAAAAAAGTTAGGTTTCTACCTTAGTTTTGCTTTCTATAAATTATAATTCATTTTAAGTTTTAAGTTTAAAAGAAAACAAGTAAGGAAGGGCTAAGTTCGGATGTAACCGAACATTTTATACTCTCGCAAAGTCAAATAGTATACTCGTTTGAGATTTCTTTGTGGATTGGCTGATATTTTCGGTAGAAGGTCAACTATAGGCACTGGGGTCCACATATTTTGTACTTAGGGGCTTAAACAGTTTTGGTTCGATTTAGACAATTTTTGGCCACAAGGTGGCATACTTTAATCGCATTATTCACGCAAAGTTTTATCCCGATACAGTCATTGTTGCCTGATATGCATAGTGGAAAGTGAAATAATCAGATGGAATTTAAAATGGTGTTATATGGAAAGTAGGCGTGGTTGTAGTCCGATTTCGCCCATTTTTGCACTGTGACATAGAAACATGAAAAGAACGTTATGCACCGAATTTGGTTGAAATCGGTTAAACAGATCTCAAGATATGGGTTTTCACCTAAAAGTGGGCTGTGCCACGCCCACTGTCTAATTTTGAACGCGGTTCCTATAAAGTCATCTCATACCATCCCAGAGATAAAATTTAATGACTCTGGCGTGTTTAGTGCTTGATTTATCGCGCTTTTAGTAGTTTTTAACAGTACCGTTATATGGGGAGTGGGCGGAGTTGCCACCCGATTTCAACTATTTTCACACCGTCAATAGAAGTGCTAAAAATATTTGCTTCCAGTGAATTTTGTTATTATAGCATTAGCGGTTTAGGAGATATGCACATTAAACCTATTAGAGGCGGGACCACGCCCACTTTTTTAAAAAAAATTTTAACTGCAGATGCCCCTCCCTAATGTGATCCTGTGTACCAAATAACAGTCTTGTATCTTATTGCGGAGCTTAGTTATGGCAAGTTATTTGTTTTTGATTAATTTCGTTTTGTGGGCGTGGCAGTGGTCCGATTACGCCCATCTGCAATACCAACCGTCTCACGGTACCATGAAACATGTCTACCAAGTTTCATAAAGATATCTCAATTTTTACTCAAGTTAGAGCTTGCACGGACGGACGGACAGACGGACGGACGGACAGACAGTCACCCGGATTTCAACTCGTCTCTTCATCCTGATCATTTATATATACATAACCCTATATCTAACTCGATTAGTTTTAGGTGATACAAACAACCGTTAGGTGAACAAAACTATTATACTCTGTAGCAACAGGTTGCGAGAGTATAAAAAGAATAAGAAGAAATGTTGTATTTTCATTTGTCATTTGAGCTATTCACAATAGTAAAAGTGATCTAAAATATGCAAAATAAAGTTTGTAGCATTGAAGATAGCAGCTATACCACTTCAATGACGTATCCGTATACTCTCTTGTACGAATTCAACTTTGTTCTTGCTTTTCTGTTGAAAACAGTCACCGATGTTTCGCCCTTCCATACTTACCGCCCGTATTAAACCAAATTTGTCAAAAGTTATGCCCGTATAAATCAGTTGTTCTCTATTGTTTTCATTTCACCAATGTTGCCATTGCTCAATTTGTATACATGATTTTGTACATATTTAATTGTTTACTTATAAATTTTCATAATGTAAAAGCTCAAAACTAAAATCCAACTATTAAAATCATCAGCGGATTCGGTCTACGGTTTTGGGTCGGTGACTGTTTCCAGCATTAGATGTAATTTTTGTCACATGAGAGCAGCGCGCAAAGATAGCGAGCAGAGAAGTGGCGGACTTCAGCAAGGCATTCAACGCACAAGGATCTAGTAATTTCACGATTAACGTAAAGATTAGTTCAAATCAACAACTCTAAGGATAGTTCTCTATTGTAGAGTCCAAAAAAACTGGTCAGTATTTCCAACTATATTTTCATAAAGTTGAACTTAAAAAGCAACTGAATGCATCGGGACATTTAGAACATTTCAATACACTTAGCAAGTTCTTAAGAATATTATACCCTTCTTGCCATGGTATATTGAAGGAAAAAGTAATATGGCGATGATTTCACACTCATTTCGCATTTGAGCTGACTTTTTCACATTTTTGTTTGCAATAAATATTCAAGCAGTAATATTTATATATGCATATATTATGTGTGAATTAATCGCACACAATTTAATCCACTTAAAACATTCCGACCTAAACGTCTACCAAATTCTACCACATAGGCACATAATGACTTTGTAAATATTATATAAAGCATGTTACACAGTATCTACTCACTTGTCTTCTCCTGATAGTAAGCGTCATCGGTATCCGTGAAGAACCAAGTCTGAAAGAATAAAAAACAGAATAAATCAAAATAATAATTAATGCAAATGTGCTTAAAATAATTAAAAGAAAATGCATTAAGTGGAGTAGTTGGTAGACGACGGGCTAGAGTAATGGCACACGTAATTGTGGGAAACCCGCTGCGTGACAAATCTCCATGCTCGTTGATTTCCAAAACATCAAGAATATACGAATAAAGACCTATACAAGAATATACATACATATGCTCGTACAAACGATGTAAAATATTTACTTTGTAGGTGTCTGCATGCGCTGAAGATCTTTGTATAGTACATGACTATGTCTGTATATATCTTTTATGCATTTTAAGTGCTGAAAACTCCTTCTCCACTTGTGACGAAAAGTCATTTGTTTGACGCTGGAAATTTTCTTATGTTTTCTTACAAGAAACGAACCAAATCAGATAAGAAATTTCCCACACACATAGACTCGTTTGTGGGAAATGCAAAGAGTGCCCGCATGAGTGCAACGCATCGTTGGTTCGTCTCCACAACATGCAACATTTCCTTCCTGCCGAATGTACATTTATGCATCTCGTAGGAATACAAGCGTTGTTGTTGTCGATTATAATTGTGGTGGTGGCATTTTATTCAATTGGTTTGTTTTGCATTGAAGTTGTCGAATTTTATGATGCATTATATTGCAAACAAAGACTTAGGGGTGATGGAACTCAACCCAGGTAAATTGTTTCCACAAAAAAAGCTTATTCCAATTATATCGATATGTATAATGAGAAAAAGGGTTTTCCAGTAGAAACCTATAAAATTAAAAAATAAAAAATTCCCTCAGAGCAGGAGTTTTGAGTTTTGAAAACAAAACCCATTCTTTGTTAAATCTTGCAACTTTGGACATAAAAGTAAGATATGGTTCTCCCATTTGATCTCGTACTTATGGCAAGAACAGAACTTATTTCTGAATTATTATTCCGATTAGTTTGAATGGTCTCACAAAGCAGTAAAAGTGCTCTATCATCCATGTGGTAGTTATCTTGAATATATTACAAATTCTTATTAATCTCTAAAGCCCACGATTAATCTTTTTGACAACTTGTACTGCTACAGATTGAAAAATAAGGTCATCTATACGTACATAGTACGATTTATTTTGAACGCAAAAGCATGTAAGAGAAAATAACTTTTTATAGCAAGAAGGGGTATATTTTAAATCAAAGACCCCTTTGATGGTTGATGTATACATATATTAAGAAGAAAAATGTTTATGTTTTCTAAAATTTTTGTGATTTTAAGCTTAACTTAAAATCGTCATCTCTCAAGGAATAAGATGTTGAGAAATTCAAATTTTAACTAACAAATAGATCCCATGAAGAATAAAGTTGATTGATAATACTTCGGCTGAAATTCGTCCTCACACGATTTGAAATTTGTCCTAAAGTATTATCTTACAGAGAAATGTAACGAAAATATAAACCTTAAATATTTTTTTTAATTTTTGAATATATTACAAGAATATACAAGCTGACTAGCAAACAGCTGGAAAATATATTTACTTCGATAAAACGTGATATTGAGTTAAGCAAGCTGCTGCTGCAGCACAAAAAGTTCTGATCTGACTCAAAACACAAGCCTTCACTGTCGAAGATGAGTATATATATATGTAAGTAAATATATATTCACATATACGTCTCTATATACCTATACGTGTGCATTGCTTGCAGATTCATAACATAGCAGGGTAAAACGGAGCTGAGCAGCGTAATAAATCGCTTCAAGTTAAGCGCTCGCCAGTTATCAAAAAACTGCAGTGACGAAACGAGCAAAGTGGGTGTGAAGTCCAGCGATTAAAGATAATGTGGCGCCCCATAAATGAAAAAGGAAAGGAAAACACAGTTGGCAAAACAACACATTATTATGGAATGCAAAGCAAAGTAATGCAAGACCTAGAGATTTCTCGTTTTGAACTGATCTGATAAATCCAGTAAACAACTTGATTGCATATAGAAGGAAGTGCCATAGGATTTGTATACCTTTTTCATGTAATATAAATATATACGCATATGCAGACATGAACCATATACACAGTGTATATGCAATAGTAACGTTTTTAAAAACACAAAGATTATAAAATTGGAAATAAAAAAGAAAAAACGTTACATTTGGCTGACCAAAGCTATAATACCCTTCACAGGTGCATTTTTTATAGCATATAAGGATATAAAGAGATCTTTATTCTCATTTTGATCGGTCAGTTTGAAGCGCAGCTATATGCTATAGTAGTTCGATCTGAACAATTTCTTCAGAGGTTGTAGCGATGCCACGGATAATAACGATGTCAAGGATATTAATCTATGTCGAATTTCATGCAGATACGTTATTAAATAATAAAGGTTTCCGTGCAAAGACTTGAGTTTGATCGGTCCGTTTGTATGGCAGCTAAGTTCGAGAGTTGTCCGATATCAGTTCTGACAAATGAGCACCTCCTTGGTGAGAAAAGAACGCGTGCAAAATTTCAGACCGATATCTCAAAAACTGAGAGACTAGGTCTCGTATATACAGACGGACATGGCTATATTTATGGTATATGTGTATTTTGTAAGGTTTCCAACGATTCCTTCTGGGTTTTACAAACTTCGTGGCACACTTAATATATCCTGTTCAGAGTATAATGACGAGCGTCAACATTTTTTTATGCAGTACTTATTTGGACATACATACAACTGTATGTACATAGATACAATGTAGTCGCGTTCACTGGTGCTCGTGGCGGTAAGTAATTTCTTTGTTAATCAGATAATTAAACAAACAGTGGGTGGGTAGATATTCAGAAAGTTAATTACATTTGGAGGGAAAACGCTTGTCCGAAAGAGTGTTTGTCGCAGGTAAAGATGGCTGGACGCGCGTCAAGCAAACGTTACAATGTAAGCGTTGAACCGCAACGCGCCCTGTATTTTTGAATGTAAGTGTGTATGTTTGTGGTCGTAGAAAGCATTGTTGTCATCATATTTCAATATAACTTTGAGCAGATTAAGACTATTGGATAGTTGGCAACGGCAAAAATACCGCAATGAACTATATTTGGCGCCCGCTTTAACAGCGGCGTGACGCGTTAGTGATTTTATTGTCTGTATACAATACTTGGTGGGTATGTTTGAGTAACTGTAGCATTTACGTCAGAAAGCGCCAGCACACAAAGCCACGTTGCGCCGTCAGCTTTTGACCAGCTGCGGGTTAGCCCAGCAGCTACTGGAAAATACTCGAGTATTTAGTTTGCTACAGCCGCAACCTTAAAGTACGCGATCAAAGCGAAAATATAGAGAGGGGGCTGCGAAGTAAATAAGCGCGGAAACGTATCATTGAACTCGTTTTTATGCCACGAAATCCACAATTTTTCATTTTTTGCCTTCTCTTGCATTTTGCGTTTTTCCGCCTGCATAACTACATGTAGTGTACACATTTCTGTAGAGTGATTTTACTTTTTTGCTCTTATACTTTGGTTGCTTTTTAAGTTTTACGTTTTTATGTTGTTGTAGTCGCGCATGCCTACTGTAGGGTGCGGCTTGACTTTGGCGCACGTACGCCTCGCGGCAGTACGAAAATGCATTGTTCGGTCAGCGCTAACTCCTAATCCGCGCGCCACACAGTGTTGCACACGATTTGCCATTCATCGCCAGCGCTGCTGCCACAAGCAGTTTTCTATTTTGGCTTTTGCGTACTTTTTGCGCGCTTTCAGCTGCTGAGTTATTGTGGTTGCAGCTGCTGCAGGACGACGCCCCCGCAAATTACTCACCCGCACGAGCTAGATTTCTGATTCGCATTCGTATTTATTTTGCACTGTTTTCGCAATAATTTGTGCTTTTGTATTTCTTTTTGTTTATTTGATTTTCCTTTTGTTGTGCTGTGTTGCGCTGCCTGTTATTTGCTTGCTAATATTGCAACTAAGTTGGAGTGCTGTTTGATTTCTTTTGTTTTGACTTAATTTTTGACCAAAATCTGTTTTTCACTTAAATATTATCACATTTTGTAATTCTGCTTCGTGTAAGACGTTCTTCTTAGTAGACATAGCACACACCGCTTCAGCGCTTCTGTTTCCATCTCAACTTTGCTTCAAATTGCAAATGGGATTACCTACGACGTCGCACTTAATTCCGGTGAGTAACTTTTAAACTAAATGACGCGGTGCGACAACGCGAGGGAACGTTTGTTACCAATGGCGCATGAGCACATCTGCACCGCTCTCCTCTGTCCGCGCTTCCAAGAAGCGGTTACATTCATTGAGGATTTTAAAACATTAAGTAACTTATAAATTCTTAAGCCTCCAGGAAGCGTAGCTGCTAAAGAATGCAAGCTAAGAAGCAAAAAAGAAGAAAAACTACAACAAAAATACTATTATTTTACTGACAGTGCTATGTCGCATCATTGGAGGCTGTTTGTTGTGACTTTTAAAGCCACATACGTTCGAGTACAATGCATACTTTAAGGCGTTCAGGCACACAACTTAACCATCATCCCTCTTAATTGCCGGCTATGCAATTAAGAGCGCTCTGAAATGTACTTTGGAGAAAAGTTGAACAGCCTCAGGTAAGTGAAATACTGTAAAAATACGAAGCTGTGTTGCTGCAAATGCATTTGCAGAAAATAGTTTAAAGTGTCCGTAAATTTTCTTAATTAAAGAGTCGAAACTAGATTCTAGCATTGTATTCTGAGGCTATTGCGCTTGAGCATAGAAGAATTTAAAAAATTGTGTCACAAGGCAGTCAGGTCGAAAAAAACAATAAAATTTAATAAACGGGAATCTGAACAGCAATATACGAAATACCTTACGGGAATATCTTAACTAAAGGCACTTTTGCGCAGTCTTTAACGACAAAAATAATTATTCTGTAGAGACCAACTTAGCGGAACCTTATCTTCTGAAATTTTCCTATTCGAGATTTGAATGATTTATATTGAATTGATTTAATTATTTTAAAAGAAATTTGTATTTTATTTCCTAAGCTTTATTGGGATTTGTAATTTTGTTTGA